TTGCTTATGTCCATTTTGTTTAGTTCTTTTTCTGGAGTTTTGATCTGTTCTTTCATTTGGACTATGTTTCTTCATCTCCTCATTTTAGCAGCCTCCCTGTGTTTGTTTCTATGTATTAGGTAGAGCTGCTTTGATTCTGTGTCTTGGTAGTGTTGCCTAATGGAGTAGGTGGCACGGCCTCCCTCACCACTAAGCTAGGTACTCAAGGTGTGCCCTTTGTGTGAGTACATGCTCCTCTTATGGTTGAGCCTTGATTGCTGTTGGCAGGTCAATGGGAGGGATTTATTCAGGCCGATCAGCTGCATTCAGGCCAATTCAGGGACTGCTGTGACCACTGACCACCAAACTCTATCCTCTGTGGAGGATCAGCTGTGTAGGAGCAGGGTGGTGGTACTACAACATGGTCTATAGCTGTTTACTGGGTGCGTAGGCTCTGGGTTTTCCTGGGTGGTGCAGGCCAAGCTCAGCTCCCACCTGTGTTCTGCCCAGGGCCACCCTGCATGAGCTATAATGCAATCTGAGATGGCTGCTACTTTTCTGGGTCTGGATATTCCCAGGTCAAGCCAAGCTGTGAATCTAAGCTGGCTGCTGCTAATGCCAGACTTAGGGCAACTTAGTAAGAAATATGGGGGCTGGCTGCTTACTGAGCCAGCTGTTGCTTGTTTGATAGGATTTAGGAAGTTGTAAAGCATGAGCTAAGACCAGCCATTCATATGGAAAAGTCATGGTTAACAGTTTGTGTGGGTGCATAATTTGGGTGGGATGGAGTCTCAGAGGATCTCCAGAGGAATCAGTGTTAGCCTGGTTGATGGAGTTTCAGATAGGGCATCTGCCTGCCAGCTCTGTGGCTCTTTGGAGGAGGACTCAGAAAAGGGGCAATGGCCTTTGCTCTACTTTCTGTCTAGAAAAAAGCTATTCCCCAGCTCTCACCTTGATGCTAGACACTTCAGTTTCTTCTTATATGCCACTGGTGCTTTATATGCCAAACAGATACCCCAGTGCTGGAGCTCAGAGGGAGTGAGTCTGAGTAAATCTGTGTGTGGGTTCTTTAAGGGGAACTGCTTAGGACTCCAGAACTTTCTTCCACTGACTCAATGCCCACTGTTTTTTGCAGACAGAAGTTATGGAGGCTTATCTTTCTGGCACTAGAACTCTAGGTTGGGGCCCCTGGTGTCGGGCTGAGACTCCTCATTCCAAGATATCCTTCCTGAATGTGTTTATCCACCCCACATGGATGTAGAAGCAGCCCATCCCATATGTGCATGCATCCTACTAGTCTGGATGGATGTGGTTTCTTCAATTCTGTAGTTATCAGACTTCTATTCAACTCAATTTCTGATGGTTCTGAATGATAGTTGTTTTATATTTTAGTTGGAATTTCGATGTGGTTATGTGGTGACGTGAACTATGTTTACTACTGATGCTGCCATCTTGACCAGAAGTCTAAATCTTACTATTATAAATGCCAAGGAAGGATCATACAGAGAAATAAAAGATTCTCCTATACCTTAAAGAAATATAAGTGAGTACAAGGAAAATAAAGACCATTGAGGAGTTGGTGGAATCCACACTGCAGAAATGGGTAGAATACACAAGCTTATCTGCTTCTTTAAAAATTACCTTTAATTGTAGCAAAATACACATAACATGCAATTTACCAACTTAACCATTTTAAGTGTACTGTTCACTAGTGTTAAACATATTTCATTGTTCTGCAACCATTTTCCATTTCCTCAGACCTTGGTAACTACCATTCTACTTTCTGTAGAAAACCAATCCTTCTGTCTTTATGTATTTAATTACTCCAGGCATCTCATATAAGTAAAATCATGTAATATTCATTTTGGGGGGAAGGATTGGTTTATTTCACTTAATACAATGCCCTCAAGTTATTCATGTTGTAGCATGTATCCAAATTTCCTTCCTTTTGAAGGTTGACTAATACTCCATTGTACAAATAGAGCAGATTTTGTTTATTCATTCTTTCATATATGGACACTTGGGTTGCTTCCATCTTTTGGCTTTTTAAAATAATGCTTCCATGAATATGGGTATGCAAATAATCTCTTTGAGATCTTGCTTTCAATTCTTTGTCATATACCCAGAAGCGGAAATGCTGAATTAGTTTTGACACAGGAAAGCTCGATGCTTCTAAGATAAACAGAAGTCAGAGACCAGAGATCTACATATGAAAGTGTATATAAAGCAAGGATACCTTCTGGGGTTGGTAGAATTAAGGAGTGGCCTTCCCAGAGGTTGAGACATAGTGCTAAGGTCTCAAACAGCAGCAAGAAAGAGTTACAGGGGAGTCAGTGAGCTCCTCATCTTAGGGTAGCCTCCAGAGACCATGAAAAGCACCTTGGGCTTGGGAGGATATGAGAGTTAGGAGACACCTTCCTGACTCTCCTTAGGTGCAAAGGGACAAAAAATGGTAAGGACTCAGTTTGTACCCAGGAATGTGTTTTGTTCCTAATTCTTATTTAGAATGAATTACACATTCACTTGTAGTTAATAGGTAGAAATAAAGGATATATAACATCTTTTATTTAATGTGTTACAAAGAGAGGAGAAGCCAAGTCATGTATGGTTCACATTGAAAACCAGAGTCTACCACACATGTGTTAGAAGTGATACATCCCTGTCCTAAACCCAACATGTAATGAAATCACAGTGACGTGAAGAGGAGACCTGGTCCAAGCAAGGGTTTCACTTCCTTGCACTAGGCTAGTCACACACTCTTGTTCTAATTCTATTTTGGAAAAAGGCCGGCAGTAATACTCACCATTTGTTTAGCTCAGTAGTTCTCAACCAGTGACATTTTTGCACCCCAATCCTAGGGGACGTTTGGCAATGTCTGGGTATATTTTTGGTTGTCACAACTGGGACACCACTACACATCCTACAATGCCCCCACAACAAATAATTTTCTAGCTACAAAAGTCAATATTGCTGAGGTTGATAAATGGGATTTGTTCTGTCTCTTTCTGAAAGTATAGTCTAATTTTATCCTCACAAATACATGCTAAGATACTTATTCTTTTTTTATTTCATTGAACAGGAATGCGAGAAGCTAGACTTGAACAGTTAACTGACTGCTCAGAGATTCAGTACTGAGATTGGGTGTCCTAGCTCCTAAGACCATTTCCCTTTGTTCACACCTGAAAGGGTCAGATAAGAAGCAGTCTCTGATGGTCACAGTTACCATTTAAGAAGCTGAAAGAGCAATGAGCATTTATCTAGTGTCCGCTCTCTTGCAAGGTTTAGCTCTATTTGTAATCCTTATCACATTACCAGCTCTTCACTGGAGTTTGGTGTGTGGCAGCTCAAAAAATTAAGTAGCTCGTAAAAGGTCACATTCAAACCTCGGTTTATGCTAAACTTGACTTGTCCCCATAAAACCCACTGCTCCTTTGATAGAATATGTGTGCTTAAAAATAATTAGTTCAAAAGCTTTAATAATAAGATGCTAATATCTAGACACTGTAGGCTCTACTCATTCACTCAAAAAAATTTTTTGAGTGCTCTATACCACACACTGTGCTGGCAGATGGACAGATGCTAATTTCTTACACTCTCAAGCCAGTTGAGCAAAGAGGGGCCACGTGTTAACACTGATCCATGCATGTGCATGTACCTGTGTGTGTGTGAAGACAGATCCCTCATGTTTTCATGACCAGGAATTTTTTGTTTGTTTTGTTCAAATGTTAATCTGTAAACTTTTAAAAGTTACTAAAGTTATTGGGGTGATATTGGTTGATAAAATGACATAGGTTTCAAGAGTATAATTCTATAATACATCACATGTATGTTACACTATGTACTAACCACCCAAAGTCAAATCTTCTCTCCCCATGTATCTGACCTTTACCCTTTTCTACTGCCTCCAACCCTCTTTCTCTCTGGTAACCATATTATTGTCTGTGCCTATGAGTTTTTGTTTGTTTGTTTGTTTGTCTCACTTGTTTATTTGTTGCTTTTAGTTTTATGTCCCACATATGAGTGAAATTAGATGGTTCTTGACTTTTTCTGTCTGATTTTACTCGCTTAGCCATGATTCTCTCAAGATACATTCCTGTTGCCCAAAATGGTATTATTTCATCTTTTCTTATGGGTGAGTAGTATTCTTCATGGTGAGCAAGACATGGAAACAAGAGTCCTTTGATAGGTGACGTGATAAAGAGGAGGTGATAGATATACACCCCAGGCATTTTGACCTGAGTCTGTAAGGATGGGCGAGGGGCACATCTGCACGATGTGCCTTATCAAAGAGCAGAGGCGCTGCTGCTGGACGCAGCTGTGTGAGACTGCACGCTTTCCCTGAGGTGGGCAGCAGAGAGTGGGGGTTAATCATGTGAGCCCTGACATCTCACATGCCTCAGTTCAAATCTCCCTTCTATCACTCACTACCCATACAAATTTGAACAAATGGCTTGACTTGACTGTGTCCTGGCTTCCTCACCTGTACCACAGAGGTGCTCAGGGTGGGGCTGTACCAGGGAGGGGATGGGAACCCTATGTGAAGTGATATAAAGAGGAGCAGAATTCCCTTCATTACAAGGTAACCTGCACTGGCACTGTGGACACGGAGGGGAGGTTCCAATAGACAGTGCCAACCTGGCAGCAGTTGCAGCCTCCTGGCCAGCTTTGGGGCATGAGGGGGAAAGTAAAGTCTCTGTTTAGGCTTTAAGGACAGCAGAGGTGTTGAAGAGGGGAGGCTTAGTCACCCTTTCTGGACTGCTGGGAGTGTAGGGGAGACGCTTAAAGTCCTACATATCTTTCAGCCTGATGAGTGAGCCAGAAAAACAGCGGTGCCCATTTTTAGCCTCAGGGCAGAAGAGCCACAGGAAATGTGGACCGCAGAAGTTATGGCTCAATAAAAGCCAACAGTACAATTTAAGAGAGACCCAGTGCCATAAATCGACCCGAGACTATTTCAGAAACCTCAAAATAACAGTGATAGGAAATGTATCCAAAGACTGAATCTCAGCTTCATCACTTACATGTGCCATGTTTGGAGGGTCTCCAGATTTCTCTGAGCCTCAGTTTCCTCCTCTGTAAATCAGAGAAAATACTATTTCACATGGTGGCTATGGATCTTCAATGTAATCAAGCCAACAAAAACACTTTGCAAACTGTCAAGTCCCGCACAGGTCTGAGAAGTTGTGATATTATTTCCAAGCAGTCAGTGATGCTGGGGATTTTAGTCAGTGAAAAGAAACTCCAGTTTGTGTTCTATGTGGTAGTATCTTTGAGCCTCTTATACTCACTCATCAAACACTTTAAAATATAGAGGCACCTAGAGTGGCAGAAACAGAAAAATCTATCATGTAATTCAAAGCATTGTCCTCTCTGCAGCTCATTGGAAAGGGGAGAGCATGTCTTTTATTAAACTTGCTTAATTCAAGAGGGACAAAGAGAGTTGCAAATGAGAAATGCAAATCTAAGAAGATATCCAGCAACGTGCTTGGCTTTAATCATTGCTCAAATAAGAAAAATCTAGTCTTTATTTCCTCTCCTCTCCTCTTCACATTCACTCACATTCATGCTCACAATAGTTTTAAGGTTGTGTTTTTAGGGTTCCTGGTTTCAAATAAATATCATGGTCTCAAAAATCCATATCAGACCTGACCTATCCTATCCTATCCTATCCTATCTATTACATCTTTCTGTTTATTTCCTTCATCACATATATCACTATTTGAAACTATCTTAGTGTTTAATTTATGTGTATGGTTGATCACATGTTTTTCCCAGGTGATAAACTCCTTGGGGCAGGTCTTATTACCTCAATATCTCCAATGCCTATCTCAGTATGGCTCATAACAGAAACTCAGTAACTATTTCTTGAATGAGTGAATGAACCCCCAAATCCCAGAGGCAATGGTCACAGGGCCACTGCCTGCTAGAAGTGGCAGCTGAGGCAGAGATGGAGGCAGCAGCAGGGGGAAGTGGCAGAGTAACCAGGACAGAAGTGGCCAACAGTCTGACTTGCTGGGACCAGCAGTGTGGTGGTGAGGGACTTGGCAGGGGACCCCTGTGTGGTGGACAGCAGAGGCTCTTGTCTAGGGCCCCCAGTAACACCACATGGGCCTTCAGGACCAGCACATATGGAGGTCAAATGCATCTAAATTTCTAACAAGTAGAACATGAGTCGTGCCTGAGGTGGGGTGCAAGGTTGCCAAGTGAACGAGAAAGAGATGGACAGATACTGGAGACTACTCAATGGCAGTTCTGGGAGGAAAGGACAATGCTTATGAGGTCCTTTTCCAGAGTGGTACCCTGGGAAACCACTATCATTCAGAGAATAGAAAAAAAATTAAATACAAATAAAATTCTTAGCTCCAAATTTCCTTAAAACATCTAACAATTATTACATATTTATGTGTTCATGAAGCAGGCATTGAGATGAGCACGTTAGAACATTATCTCATTTAGCTCTTCCAACAGGAGCTTCTCTATTCCCATTTTATATTTGGAAAAACTGAGGTTCAGGAAGTGGAACTGATTTACCCAGGCTAACAAGTAGTGGGGCTGGGATTGGAGAACAGTCAGTCTGACTTTAGATTTGGTGTTTTTAAACTACCATTGACAACTGCATGTGAATTTTCTGATTTTGATGACAACTTTTTAGAACCCTATAAAAATACTGGAGCTCTCAAGGTTCTGTCTTGATACCACATTTATTATCTCACTCTCCACAGTTCCCAGGGGGCGTTCTCAGTCATTTTCTCTGCCCCAGTCCCACCTCTGTGATTCTCATTTTCAGACCTGTGTGCCCAGCTCCCTGCTGACTGTCCAATGGAAGCTTCCACACCACATGTCTATAATAGAATTCACCATTCCCTCTCTGAACAATCTCTTAATGAGTCCTTGTCCTACTTAAACAACACACTGGTAAAGCCAGCTGCTCCAGAGAGAAATCTGGAATTATCCCTAATACCTCCATCCCTCACCTTGTCTTTCTTCTTAGTCTTGCTCCAATATATTGAATCCATCCCTGTTGACACAGCCTCAGTTTATTATTATTGATGATTGCAGCTGCTTTGAAATGGTCTTATCTTGGTATTGCCTTGCACAAATCTGCCTTATTCAATGTTACAGGAGTAATGTAAAATTAATACTAAAATGAAAACCTTGTCCTATTACTCTTTTATCATCTCTTTCTACTCCGAACTCCAAAAGCCTATGAGGCCTTGGCAGTATTGCCCCATTTTACAGTTTTTAAAATGCTACCTGTGTATCTCTCATTTCTCCTCTTCTTCCTTTCCTCCTTCGCATCTTGTCTTTACTGCTTCCATGAATTTTCTTTAGCTCTTTCTTATTCCAGGCTCTGAAACTAACATTATAAAAAGGTTGACAATCTAAAAGATATTTTCATATACATTATCTCATTTATTTCTCACAACACTGTTGACAAGCAGGTAGTTATTTCCATCTTAAAAGGGAGGTCATGGTCTCAAATAGATCAAGTGTATTGCCCAAACTCACAGAACCAGGGAGTGCCATGACTTATACCTGGCCCTCAGCTTTCAAGTCCTATCATTGTCCTGCTCTGCAGCATGGCACTTTGAAGGCATGTGTCTCTGCAGCTGTCTTTACCATCCTAACCCATCATAATTCATTGTCAATACGTAGCAATCTTTGATTCAATGCAATCAGGGTAAGTAGTGTTCAGTCAAAAGCTGGTGGGGGCAGAAGCACCTGGTGTAATAGACAGGTATCTACTGGTCGCATACATTCAGTGTGTCCTGGGAATGAGTCAGGGTACTTTTCCTAGTGACAGACAGGCTTCCATTGTCCTGGGTACTTGGCTGAGTGTAAGGCAGTGACCAGAGTTTCTCCTGTAGCTGTTGGTGACTTTGCCTGACTCACTAGATTGTGAACACTACAAGAGGAAACAGTGCTCCTATTTTTCTTTGTGTCTTTACCTCACAACACAGACATGGTTGTTCAGTAGATAGCTGACTATTATATGGATCAACCCTTAGGAATTTAGAGATGGAGGGAACTTAGCGAGCATCTTTCTGGCCACACACTCCTAAACTCCATGTGCAATTGACATGTGCAATCCATTGTGTAATAGTTTGCACACATTTTGCGACATTTGAGTCAGGGTTGTATTCTCATTTATTGCTTATTTACTTTTTATTATTTGTTTACTATCCTCACTATCTCTAATTTTATAGCTAAAGACACTGAAGCTTAATGTGAGCAGGAGGCATGTCCCAGCTTAGAAATTCCTATCAGAGGTGAATTTGAGCATAAGCACTGGGGCCCAAGATTCTGGGGTGCACAGCCAACCCTTCCTGCCTTCATAGCTAAGGCTCTTTCTGCTTTTTGAGCAAGAGCCATGCTGTAAGGAGTCTGGGGATGGGGAGAAAACCAGATGCCTGCAGCCATCTGTGAGGTGAATGCAAGAAGCCCTGTGGGGGAAACTGCTCTGTGCTTTCTGGAGAAGAGGAGCAGCTCACGGGAGGGAGAAATTAGAGGAATCTCTGGAGAGCTGAGCGGGGAGGATGGCAGTACCCAGGACAGAAAGAGAAGCCAGGAAGAGTTCTCTCTGAACTGAGCTGAGAATGCTCACTCACCATGCATGTCCAGTCTACATTTTGGAAGGAAAAGATTTAATGCCCTCTTACAACTCTACTTTCTTTTTCTCCAAAATTAAGGTCAGCAGGGGAGAGAAGTGGCATCTGAGATGCTAATGAAAGAAAGCCCAGGTGACTGCAGAAGCAATTTAAAGATTTGCCCGGATTTGTTTTGGCCCCAGTGGCTCTGCCTTCTACTTGCAATTCCTCCTCTGCCGTCTGGATGGGGAGATAAATACATTTTTTAAAAGTCCAACATCCAGGCACTTTTGAAATTAGGGAAAGCAGAACCTGGAAGGCTTAAAATATTAATCATGTATCCAGGCTTGCCAGAGAAAAGAGGATGGCATTCTGCAGGTGTAATGCAGGAAAAAAATCCCCTCTAGGAACAACTGATATGGAGGCGAATTTCACTCATGTGTGCACCAGCCACAGAAAGCTTGATTCATACTTAATGCAGACCTAGATTCACAGGCCCCTCCTTAAAGGGAAAGCTGCAGGCCAGCCAGCCTTCCTTTAGGACACTCCAAGACCTCATTAAACTATCATTAAACAGCCAACAGGCTCTGCTACGGCAGTAGGTTGAGTCCAGAAATATAGATGAAAGGGTTTAGGAATGTTGGATTAGAAAACAAAGTCCAGACTTTCAGAGGTAGGAGCCGGATTCCTGAATCCTTAGCCCAGAGCTTGGGAGAGGACTTCTCCATTGTTTGCCCCCAGGGCTCCCTCTCAATCCAGGCTTACTTCCTATGTTTACCTTATCACAGGCTCCAGAGATTCAGTTTTCTTCTGATCTTATTCAAAATGGCCACCACCATGCATTCAAAATCAGTCCAAGTCTATTTATCTCCCTGTTTTGGTGCTGCTAAGCATAAACTCAAAGGACCTTTTTTGAATTAAGGATTTTAATACTACTTTCTACAAGGGAAAGGATGGAAAGAGTAAGAATCCCAACAGTAAAGAAGAACTAAAAGAACTAAGGTTCCAGAATGTCAGAATTTTTAAAGCCTTGTTCTTGATCTTTAGATCCTGTCTTCCTTCTGGGATGTTCCCAAGGACTCATCTTTCTGTTTTAATTCCTGAGGTGGTGCATAATCTCATACTTCTTCACTCCTGAAATGTGCCCCTTATTCTTTAAGTAGAATAGGAAGCCTGCTGTTCCTTGACCTCAGTCATAGCCCCTTTCAAACCTATATGCCTCTATTTGCTTTAAATGTTGTGTCTGAAACCCAGATGTGTCTTTTCAAGATTTCCTTTCTCTACCTGCATTGCTCTGCCCCTGTGAAAAACCACGTAAGCACCTGCCATGAGTAAGCCCCAGGGAAAGTGCTTGCCTTTATTTCAGAACGATTCTATTCCTCAGCACTGGAACTGTGATCCTCAGGACCTAACGTGAAGTTTGGCACACAGTAGGTGCCACTTTCAAAAGAATAAGTGGGTAATGTCTTTGTATAACATCTAAGTCTTCTTATGACTGCAAAATGGCTTGGTAGAAGCAGCATTAGCTTGGGGGACTGTGGTTGGAACTGTCATATACTAGCTGAGTGGCAGGGAAGATTTCCTTACTTTTCTGAGCTTCGGTTTTCTTGCCTATAAAGTAAAGTCAATAACAAATACCTTACAGTTTATTTAATTTTTAATTAGAAACCTCTTTTCCCTAATAAAACCATTTCCAGAACAAATAGAAAGTTAATTTTTTTTGGCTGGAATACTCCTAGAAACTATAGCTAGTTGTGAAAGTTCTAAGACCAGCCTTGATCTTTTTTAAAGATTTATTTTATTCTCATTCTAAAGAATGGGTAGAGAGAGAGATAAAGAATCATCAATGTGAGAGAGAACCATCAATCAATCCCCTGCCCCTTGCATGCATCCTAACTGGGGATTGAGCCCACAACCTACACATGTGCCCTGACTGAGAATTGAATTGAACCTTTCAGTTACAGGATGATGCTCCAACCAACTGAGCCATGCTGGCCAGGGCCAGCACTTGTCTTTAGTTGAAGTTTAGAAGAAGAGACTACAGGGTGGTGAGTGTTATTCCTAGAGACTGGACAGGAGTTGGGAGGATGACATCCCTTTGGTGTTCACCATCATAGGGTTGATCTTGTACTGGGCAAGAATCAGAGTCCTGATTTGTCTGGATGCTGAGTGAGGGTAAGACTGGTACATGAGACACCAGTTCATTTGTAATGGTTTGTAAAGCTCTTCACCCCTTTAGAGTACTTGCACCACCATCTATTTTCGGACTTCAGATTATTCGAGTTGACTCAAGATTCACTCACTGGATGGTTTCACTGGGTCAGCTCCTTATGTAGACTCTCAGGATCCTTTAGAGAAGGATGGCTTTACTCCTCAGGCACCAAACTTGACCACAAATGCTATGAACTTTGTTCACAACATAGGTTCTCAGGGCCATTCTCTCAGGGCCATTCTTCTGCGATCCCCACATCCTCAGAGATACAATGCTGGAACAGGGACTACCCTCATCCTTCTCTCAGTCTCAAAATATCCACAAGAAGTCAAACCACATTTTCCCCCCAGCTCTGTCTCCCCAAAAAACATTCTGGAATAGCAAAATGCACACATATACACACGCATCTTCCATTCTTTACATTTCTCCAAATGGTGTACATTGAACGTTAGGAGGGGCTCAGAAGCTGGTAACTAAAAATACCTTATCCTTTTCTCTCTTTCCATTCTTTCCTGATGTAAAGACCCACATACCTGTCTCTCCTATCACCATCAGAGTGCTCATGAAAGATTTTTTCTACAGTCCTAAAGATACAAACACACAAATACAAAAGCATAAGTTAAATACTCAATGGATTATTTATGCTGTATATTGATCGACAGTGAGAAATGTAGTTGGAATAGGAAGACAGAAAGTTCAGGTGCACATTTTTAATTCTTTCTTTTCCTTGTAGACCTGTGTGAAAGGCCAAGTCATAATGAGAAACTTGCTTGGTGAGACTGCTATTAGGACAAAGAACATTTACTGGATTTGGGAGTATAGTGACATCTTAGGATCTTCATTTTCCATTTGGAGTGGGTTTGTGGTTTTTTTTTTTTTTTTTTTTTTGCCAAATTGGAATGGAACAGAGTTATCGTTTTCTCAAAAATCCATGATTTTGTAAACCACAGTTGGTAAGATTAAGATCTCAAAAATGTTGAGTTGGGAAAAGAAACAAAAAATTTTACTAAATACAGATAAAGGACTGAGTGAATAAATATTCTAGAAGATACACACTTGCTTTAGCAAGTCAGATTCATGACAATAAAACCCTGCTCCAATAAACAAGCTCCTTCTGGATGATTTTCTCTTGGTTCAGGATGTATTGCTGCATCATTGCCATCTGTGAAACTAGATATTTTACTGGCTTTATGTTGTGCTCTGTGTATCTCTCTTTCAACTTTTTAAAGCAGCTCTTCCTGGCATGATATTTGCTTGGTTTTGCACTTGATTTTTTTTGCATTGTATCTATGGGTGTCAGGACAATGTCTGACCTTGTCACAAGTTATGCATATGTTGTTGGGTCCTGGCTCTCTGTTGAATGGACTTTAGATGAAATGGTGAGGAAAGATTTCCCTGTGGAGTTAAATTTAAGCAATGAAGTGAGGAAAGGAGCCGCACAATATTAGGGGAAAGAGAGTCCTAAGCCAAGAAAACAACCATTGTATAAGTAGCAAGAAGGCCAGGGTGAGGGTGAGAGTAGACTGAGGGAGGTGGGGACTGAGATGTGCTGGGGCTAAGTCATGTAGGGTCTCATGGGTCATGTGAAAGATTTGTGGGGTTTGTCCTCAAGGTGATCAGCATCCATGACATTTCAATTTATTGGACAAGCTGTATGACCTTGGATATTGCCTGACTCACACTTCACTTATTACTTCTGTGGTTCTCTTTTTATATGTTCCCATTCTGATCAGTTTCCTCCTGACAAAAACAATTTTTCTGTAGATACTTTAATATCTTCATTGAGGTTAACCCCCATCCTGCTGGCCTGGGGCCCACTCTGTTTTGGGGAGTGACATTGCATATCTCATATTAACTGTACTGACTTTCTGGTTTAACTCATAGAAGATCAATCTCTGTGTCAAATTTCCTACCTCTTAGGGAGCACATAACCTTCCTACCCGGGTAGCAAAAACATCACCATGCTCACAGGTGCTTTAGGGATACAAGCCAACAACGAGAACACCAAAAGATTTAGAAAGAATGCTGTTTTGAGTCCAAGTGTGTTGGGAGCTCTAAAAACAGAAGCCAGACAGAAAACACTCAGCATTCTCAGAGAGGGAGAGTTAGAAATAAACACTTACGTCATCCCTTCCCTCCCCTGCACTGATGCGGTCCAGACAGATGATGGCCCTGCATTCCGTATTTGTCTGGTTTCCTCATTAATTCTTCTCTCATTTTTGCTTCTATTATCTACAATGACAACTGCACACTATCCCTAGGCAGCTTGTAAAGTCATCTGTCATTAGAGCAATAAAGACTCACAACTTTCTGCACAGTAAACAAATTAAACTGCGTCTTGGTATCTAAACCTCTTGATGAAGTATCACTGTCATTGTTATGATTACAATAGTAATCATAACAAACTTTTGCAAACCTACTGTGTGCCAAGCATAGTTAGTTGTTATACATACAATATTTCATTTAATCTTTTAAACACCACTTTCCAGCTAAGACTCATTGATCTGGTACACAGAAGAGGAAATGGGACTCACAGTGCCAAAGTACTTGGCCTTAGTCAAAGTCAAATGAATACTCAACTCAAAGACCCATCTACTTTCTAAGTCAGACCTGCACACCCATACATTCCATGGTACTTTGGGCTTCCCTGCTACCACAGACTGTTCTGGACATTGCTCTCAAATGTTCTTCCTTACAGAGGTACATGCATGCTCACCTTTGCTTGCTCTCCTCAGGTCATGTCTTCAAAATCTTGAAGGGATCCAGCTTCCTCTGTGTCACTCAAATGCCTAGGCTGTCATTGCTGGTGGGGAACTTGAAGAGTCTTTTTTATGGAGGTGTTTAATCTTGAATTCCTACATGGCAGAGTACAAGCCAGTTTTAATATGCAGAAATCTCTAGTTAAACCACAATACTGTTGTTTGCTTTATAGTGCTGAAATATCAAGTTAAACATTAGTATTTGATAATTACAATTTGTCTAATAGATGAAAAATTTATAAGATTGGGTTTATCCTGGGGTACATGGAGAGGAAAGAATTTATAAATAAGATTGTTGGTGAAAACTTTCAGAAAAATCACCAATTGGGTCTTGCGTTCTTTCTTATAGATGACTAAATAGATGTCCACTGAGAGGAGTAGTGAATGCAGATTAAGCTACTCTGGTTTGGAAGAGACTTTAAAGCTCACATTGTTCAACTCTGATACATTTCTAGTAAGTGGTAGAGCTATCATTGATGGAGAATGTAGTGCTACCTTAGGTACTCTCTTTCAGCTGAATCACATGGATGTGCCTGCCCTTCAGTGCAGATCCTGTACAGCATCACACAATGACTGTGTCACTATGGTAAGTGATGGTTTTCATACATGGGGATATCACAGTTGTGGGCTCACTGCTAGGTATGCTAGTGCCAGCCAAGGGATCATGGCTTCCTTGGCTCTGTATGCAGACCATTATGAAAAGTCAATTGTTTTTACTGAAAAAAGGCCCATATGGCATTTTGTCATTTGACCTTTTGTTCCATGTGCTAGCCACCTGCCTTAAAATTGCAGATATACTTAACCATCTGATCTTTTGCTTATACTCAATGCTCCTTCTTTCTAGAATATTCTATTTCCCAATCTCTTCCTTAGACTTACTTAGTCTGGAAAACTTCCCCTGACCTAAAAGGACTAGGTAAGGCCCTGTAATTGCCTACTTCCAATATACCTTGAGTGTTTCCTTGACTTTAACATTTAATTGTAATTAACTATTTTTCTTTCTCTCTTAATCAGTACTTTTGGATTCTAGTAGAATACCCTAGTGATATTCTAGTCTACAAACCCCAAGGCCTAGCACTTGATTGAAACACATATAGTGAGTACACTGTGAAATGAATGAATTCTTCAAAAACCATATCTCAACCTCTTCCCTCATTCTCTCATATAAAACTCTGCATAATATCACATGGGCCCTTCCTGCACCCTATCCAGGCTCATTCACCAATTCCTAGTTGGCTTTCTCTCTTCATTGTGGCAATGGAAAAATGGGGAGTTGAAAGCAAAGGGAGTGGGATGAGGGAGAGAATGAGAGAGAAGAGTGACCGTGGAAGACAGAACACATCAGGGTCAAAAACTTCATTTTATAGGTGAGAAAACTGAGTCTCTGAGAGAAACACGACTTCCCTAAGTTACTGTTTGCTGTCTTCTGGCCTTGCGCCTTTCTTCTCTATTATAAGTTTTGCTGCAGGTATGTCTTTAACAAACAGACCAAAAAAACTCCCTCCTTTCCAAATACGACAGCTTCATCATCAGGATGAAGGGGTCATTGCTTGAAAATTTTTTTAAATTCCTGATTAAAAAACCCAGACTCTCACTTGGAACAATGACTCATGCTAATTTTGCGGACGGCATGCTTTCCTCTGGTATTTCTCATCCGATCTGTTCTCTGTTCTCCAAGATTGCACAAGAATAATGATGAATTCCATAACTGCATCCCAGTTTCCTGAGGCCCAAAATAATCACTGTTCTGTTTTCCATGGGAGATGGAGACATATATTAGGAGGTTTACATTCTTTGAACATTTACTTTAAAAACAGTAGACAACCATGGCAGGTGAGGCTTGCATATGATATTTCTAATCAGATGTCCATCCAGAAAGCAATTAACTTTAGGCAAAGTATCTTCTCTGCAAGGCTCCCAAGGTTTCCTCCAGGGTTGGTTCACTCTCCGCATTCTCTGAGCAGGTGCTGCCTTTGCCTCCCACTGTGGTCCAGATCCCAAAGAGAGTATGAACAGCATGTCCCATGGATAAGGATGTGATCACAGTTTGGTGACTCAGAGCAGTGCAGCAAGAAGCCTTTTTTCTGCCTGTCCTCCTGCCACCTCAACCCCAGTCCCCTCAGAATCGTTCTTCTCATCTTTCAGAAAATGCTTAGGGCCCCACCAGGTTCTTCAGTTTCATCTGGCCCACTGCCTTGGATTTTTTTAAATCACTCTTATTAGGAAATCCAAGGAGGAAAAATAAAAAAATCTGTGTTTAGAAGTCAGATCGAAATGAGTTCAAACCCTGGATGAGCCACTTCCTAGCTAAGTAGCTGTAGGTGAACTGCAGCCTCTTTCTGAGTGTCAAGTTTCTCACCTGTGACTAGATTGTTACAGGATTGTTGAGATGATTGTTCAATGCCCCAAGAAAAACACTCAGTTTGGTGGCCCTTCCTAGAAGTTTCTTAGCTGAGTATTCATATTCAGCACTATCTCTAGCCTGTCTCTTTTTGGTAAAAGAAAGTTGGGATAGAGTTTGGCTAGTGAATTAGTTTTCTGAGGTTGTTGTATCAGCATCCTACGAGATGGGTATTTTAAAACAACAGACATTGTCCCACATTAGTCTGGAGACCAGAAGTCCTAAATTGAGGTGATGTCAGAACCATGCTTCCCTCTGAAACCTGTAGGGGAATCCTTCCTTGCCTTGCCTCGCCCCAGCTTCTGGTGGTTTGCCAACCATCTTTGGTATTCCTTGGTTGGCAGCTACATCATCGCATCATCTGCTTTTATCATCACATGAAGTCCCCTCTGTGTCTGTCTTCACATGACAGTCTTCCTATAAGGACCTTAATCACATTGAATTAGGGGTCTAGGCTAAGGGGATCTGACTTCATCTTCACTAATTATGTCGGCAACAATCCTGTTTCTGAATAAGGTTCCACTCCAAGATGCTATAGTTTGGACTGCTGTTTTGAGTAGATTAGATTCATTTGAAAAATCTAATCTTAGAATTGCAGTCTTAGAGCTAGAAGGAAATATGTTATTTCTTTCACATTTTTCTCTTCATTTCCCATTTTCCTGTCTTCTCTCTTTATTTTAAGCCTTCCAGCCACCATTCTGGCCATCTCTAATTTATTACTGACCCAGGATCTGGGTTGTCTTTCTACCACCCTCCCCACATGACTTAAACAGTTGTGTACCCATGTAAGTCATCTTGTTTTTATATAAGACAAAGGTCAAATTGCTCAACTTAGAACAGATTGTCTTTCATTCTCTGACCCCCCACCTCCCTTGGGGTGGCTAACTCTCTTGGTTTGTTCCAAGTAGCCCCAAGTTTAGCCCTGAGATTTTTGCATCCTGGGAACCCCTCAGTCCTGAGCATCTCCTTATGGCTTTAGACCAGGGGTGTCAAACTCATTTTCACTGGGGGCCACATCAGCCTTATGGTTGCCTTTAAAGGGCTGAAATAATTTTAGGACTGTATAAATGTAACTACTCCTTAATAGTTAAGGAGTTGAAATTATATTTGGGCCTTTGAAGGCAACTGCAAGGCTGATATGGCACCTGGTGAAAACGAGTTTGACATCCCGGCTTTAGACACTATCTAGCAGTTACAGATTTAATGCTGTCTTGGTAATTGTGTATTATTACTTTGGCATTACCTGTTTACTTGTGAGGCTCTACTATTGCTGAATGATATGCTTCTTAAGGATTTTAGATCCAGATAAGTCTGGGTTTGAATTTCAACTCTGCTGACCTTTGTCATTGCTTATTAAGCATCCATTTCCTCAAAAGCAAAAGGGGCCCACAATGATATCTCCTCCATCTGCAGCAAGGGTAAATTAGATAGTATGAGGGAAGCACCTGTAGAATGGCAGATACATAGGAGATGGTACGTAAATGGTAGATGGCACTTCACTGGTAGGTATGTCTGTATGCTGTTGAATACCTGTGTTCAGTAATTGCTTTTGAAGGAAAGCTCAAGGCTAAAATACTCAAATCTCTTGACCCATGACCTTTTTGTCCTGTCATTTTTATCTCTCTGTCTTATAAATGAATCTGTTCTTTCAGAGGTTAGTCTTACTAAGAACTTGGCTCAAAGCCCTGTTTTTCTCCAGTAAGGTAGAATATGACAGATTCTATGGACCTTTTACTATTGGTATTTTCCATGTGTCAATAATTTTTTACCCTCCAGTGATTTTTAGCATGTTGAATTCAGCAACCAGTTCTTAAAGGGAGAATAAAAAACTGAAAAGACCTTCAACCTTTTCTTGTGCTCCAATTCCTATGAATTCAAAACATAAACTCACTTACAGTTGGTATTTTATCATTGACTAAATGGAGGGTCATTTAAAGCCTTTTCCTCCAGATTGGGCCCCTAAAAGAATCAGTAGTATTTTATTTAACCTGATGGCACTTGAGTTACGTGCATGAGGAAGCTGAGAATGGGTGAGGGGGTGTCCCACCCCGAAGAGAAGCAGGGAAAATCCTGACTGTGGTCAAAAGGACATCACAGGTTTCTTGGTTTTCTCTAAGATTTTTATTGTGGAGGCCACTGGTTCTTTTTATCTAGCGGATATTTGACGTCATGATGAGATTAATAATTCACAGAGTCTGGGCAGTACTTTTCCACTGAGGACTCTGCACAGAGCAGAGCAGAAGTGCTGGTGAAAGCCAGAGGGCTCCTGACAAGGTCGGATGCTTTACGCTTCAGCAAGTGTTCCAAATCCCCAGTAACCCTTTCCTTGCTGCGATTGACACAAAGAGGCGAGGATTCTACAGTATTTTTAGCTTTCTGGGCTTAAAAGAGTTCCATCAAACAGACCTTTTAAAGAGATTCTGTGCCAACAACAACACTGGTAGAATGTAAATAAAATTTTAGTTACCAGTTCCAAACAGTAATTCAAAAGGTGTTATGAAATTATATGTGATTAATTGCTATAGATGATGAGAGAATTAGTAGTAGCCATGGGAAGAGAAAGCATGATTATTATTATTACTGCTGCTAGTGCTTATTTTGATTATTCTTATGGATCATTTTTAAGTGCCAGGAACTCTGCATTACATACATGCTCTTTTTAATTTTTTTAAAATTTCCAATGGTCTTTTAAAAAAAAGCTTTTTAAATTGTTGTTCAAGTACAGTTTTCTGCCTTTTCCTCCCACTCCTCTCCACCACCCCAGCCCTTCTCACCTCCTTCCCCCATTTCCACCCCTCCTTGTTATTGTCCATATATCCTTTATAATTGTTCCTGTAAACTCTTCACCCTTTTCCCCCATTATCCCCTCCCCTCTCCTTTCTAATCACTGTCAGCCTGTTCTCAATTTCAATGTTTTTGGCTTGCCTACATGTTCTAATTCTGTGAGATAGATGTGCTTATCCTCATCTTATAACGAATGAAGCTGAAGCTCAGAAAATCAAGCAAGCTTTTCTAAGGCCATCAAGATGGTCAGAAGTAGAGCCAGTGTTTGACCGTGGGGTGGTTGTCTCTAGACACTGCCTTTTACATGTGCTGTAACACCTTCCAGTAATAATGAATAGTTAATGACCATGAAGTGGACTCAGCATTTTGCAGGGACTTAATAGTTTTCATTATCATTTGTGTCTCCTTTCTCACTTCTCCCAGCAGCCCTGTGCATGGACAGGTTGAGGGTTGCTATTTCCACTTGGCAAATGCAGAGCTTGGACTGGAGCAAAGTAATATGATTCGCAGGGTCACCCACCAACTGGTTGGTGGCAGAGATGCACCTGGAACTTAGGACTTCTGGTTCTACAACTAGAGTTTTGTGACCCATGCTTTAGAGGATCAAAGGGGTCACACCAATAATAGCTGGCATTTTTATTTCAACTTGAGCCAAAGGCAATGAGACTGGAAACTAGTCAAACCTTGATATTCTCCCTTTGCTGATCTCTCCTGTCAAATCTACGTTTTTCTGGCAGCAAGGTTCTCACTGACCAGACTTCCAATGGCAGTGATGAGAAATGCCCTCTTCTCTTATTGTCCATTTTCAAAGTCTGGCTGTCCATCCTTCTGGTGATTGTAGGATCTTTCCAATAACTTTTCAATAAATTTACTTTCCACTTTAATGGATCAGAGCCAGGCTCTGCTCCTTGCAGCTGAGAACCCTAGTGGATACCTTATTTCCCTAGTGGTTGTGTAGAGCAGATGCACAGTGCTGCTACAGAGCCGTCTTCAAGTCACCTTGTTCTGCCCATTCCCCTTTATCAATCCATTGATTGTCAATGTATTGTCACAAGCCTATGTTTGTGATATAGTTTCTCCCACAGGTCAGCAGGGCAACTGCTTGGCTAGTTGCCTCCTGAGCAGCCTGGCACCGAGGAATAGACAAGAGTCACATTAGGTAACCATGCTATTCACTCAGTTTATTGAATGAAGGTTAATTCAAAATAGAACATCAACATACATTAATATCCTACTCATACTCTAGTAATCTAAGAGAAATATAAAACACTTACACAGCAATCAATGAGGGATAATGAAGCTGAGTCCCAGAGTGTCAGTCTGCAGGTCCAGGAGATAGCACAGTGGGCAAGGGAGTCTCCAGGGTCTTGTAAGAAAGACTCTTTGGATCCAGGTGGGCAGCATGGCAGACAAAATCCATCAGGGCAGAGCCTCTGGTGGCTGATGTCAAGAGAGATCAGCGTGGTGTGGAGCAGCACTCTATTGTGCTGAGCTCGGCTGTCTCAGCAGTGGTCTGGAACCCACTTCACTTATACCTTGAAAGTGGTACACTCCACCCTTCTGAGTCTTTTGTTATGTGTCTTTGCATCCCTGATGCCAAGTGGAGAATTTCTATAGGAGCCTATCTGTGGGTGTTCCCACTCTGCAGACATGGCTCTGATCATGTGTGTAGATGTATTGGGTGTGTTTCTTTGTCAGATGTGTCTAGTGTGTCTTAGGTAGTTTCCCTCTTGAACAAAAGTGTCATGGCTGACTGGTAGCCATCTTGGTTGACATGAGTGATTCCACTTTGTTTTATATACTTCATACTATCTTGACCAGACCAATGCCATTTTATTGGTCCTGCTCTCCACAAGTATCACCTTTCATTTCCATACTTTTGCTAAATCAGTATCTTAGCAGTGCTTTATTTAACTATTTTATGCCAGTAGTAAACATAGCTTTTGAACCTCCCTAGAAAGCTGGCTATAGATTCACCCCAGGGAGGAGAGGCGAGCATGATGAACATGAAGATGGTGGATGACAAGTGTTGGGGGAGTTTGACTGGTCTGCAGCTCCTCAGTCAATTTGCATAATTTCTTTCTTCCTTTTTTTCATTATTTTTCCCACCTTCTATCCTCTTCATTGTTTTTATTTTTCTATTCACACGCTTTGGTCCTTTCTCTAAGCAAAAGCCAAATGAGGGTTATTTGGCTCTACTGGAATCTACAATTTGATTTCCTTTTGCCCTGAACTTGCTGCCCTGAAGAGGATAGAAGAGTTGCCCTCTTCTTTCACCTCCTCACGCCTTTTGGAAGGAAACATTAGGGTGTACCTATTACAAGAGGGAAGGGAGCAAAACAGGTTTGAAGCTTGATGGGACTTGCGTGGGTTACTTCTAAGCATCCCTCTTTTCTTTCCCATGAGGTTGCAAGCATCAACTCAGCACAACTCAGATGTGAGAACAACTGACTAGGAAAGAGAAAGCTTTGGCTAGTGTTGTTCTGCTACTTACCAACTGTGTGTCCTGAGAAAGTTATCAGAACTCTAAATTTTAGATAATCTTTTATGAGGGCTGGAGCATGAAGATTGGACAATCAGTGGGAGGCAACTAGAACAGAGACTCTTTCCTTAAAATGCATCTTCTGCCCTTATTCAGTTTGCTCCCCTATGGCATACCTCCTGAGCTGTCCCTGGCAGGCGTGACATGTAGCTCCCTGTCCCAGTGTGGAGACACCTGGGTCCTATTGGGTTTGTGCCACCAGCCAGATGGCCTCTTCATGTTACGAAGGTATGCCATTAGAGCACCTAGTTCTCTTCTTATGAAAGCACAAATTATCCACCGTTATTTCTGACTGATCACACCTCTTCATACAAGAAGTTGGAGGACTCATAATAAAACTGAATGGCAGTTAGACTACACTACATTTGTAATAGCAGTCTTCAATTCTGCCTATAACCTACAAGGTCTGCGAAGTCATGGGCACAGCACTGCCACAGGATAATCATTCACTACAGTGTGGGGCTTTTGGGTAGGTCATGTGGACTCTGTGGTGTCGGATGCAACTGGGGTCAGTGCTGGGTTCTGCTACTTACTTATTGGTGTTCTTGCACAGCTTACTTAACCATTTTATACCTCAGTTCCTTCTTATAAACTGAGGATAATAATTCTAGAACCTTTACCTTGGGGTGGTTGTGATGGATAAAAGAGAAGATCCTTGTGAAGTCCTGTGGCCCAACAGAGGGTGCACATTCAATAAATATTCACTGTTATTATGTTTAGTGCCTTGGACAGAATAGTTGGTAGTGAATAGCAGTATCGTTTCCCAGTGCCTAATGTTGAGTCTGTTATTGATGAGGGTGGTATAACACTCAGGTAAGATGCTCTAGCTGTTTTTTCTTTCAGAGTAAAATTGGCAAATCTACTGGCCTGAATCAAGCTTCTGTGTTAAGGGGCTCAATGGTAAGAAATAATAGTTTTTAATATGCTATCTCTTTTAAAAATATAAAGTAACCACTGGGTTTTCAACCTAATAACTATTAAGACATAGAGATATTTTTGTTCTCTATTTTTTAAAAAATGAATTGTCATATACTTTTGAGGTTGAGAGAGTGAGGAGAAGGCACAGGGGAAGGTAAAGTGTCTGAGAGGTGATTTACAATATATTCAGAGGTGAGTTTTACTGTTGATTAAAACTTACTAGCTTCCTGTGTGGCAGCGGTGTCTCCTTGGTTCAACTGCAAGTTCTAATAAAGGTTCCAATAATTTTGACTGAACTCTGTTTGTCTGTGCTTTCTGCATGCACACAGGTGCCATGGAAAGTATCCCTTTATGCTAGTCGTACTGTGCTATTAGCAGTTTTTCCTAGTTTGTGACTTTGAACCTTTGTACACATTGCCGTCTTTCCCTGGAACCCAGTCCCCGCACTCACCTGTCTGTATAATTCTTTTCTCAAGTCCAGGCTAAGTGTCATCACCTCTGGAAGGGAGCTGCTGTGCCCACGGGGGGCTTGTTAAGGTTGTCTTCTGGATCCTTTGGGGATTCCTTGGACAGAGAGTAACTGCTCACTGAAACATCAGCTGGGGAACAACATGTGCTCAGATAATTCTGACACAGCACAAACAACAATCGTCCCTAGCAGACCAAAGGTCTCTGGATTGTTTGAAGCTATTCATGTGCCAAAATCATCTTGATCCTATCTCTAAAGATACAAGACCGCCGATGTTTTGGATGTCTTCTTACAGGAAAGGGACATGTCTGCCTTTCCAGGCAGAGCACTCAAGATTTAGATCTTGGCTCCTGCTACCTATTAGCTGTGTGAAAACTAAATCTCAGTTTTGGCATTTTTTAGAATGACTCTACTCATAGCTACCTTGACATGTAATTAACTCTGATAACATAGGCCAATATCAAGCATGTCCCTGGGACCCAGAAGACACTCAATGAGCAGTAGTTATCCAAGGTTGTCTGTGCTTAAAAGCCATTCTGGGGCTCCTTTCTAAGAAACTCCAGGCTACCTCCCATTATGCATGAAAAAACCTCTTTATACAAAATGGCCCTAAATGTGGCTCATCATAGAAACAGCCCACCTGCATAGGCTACTTCATCTTTCTGGAATTAATAACCATGAAAATTGCCAACCATGAGAATTACATTCCTGGAAAATGCTACCCTTGGTAAAGATTGTTGTGAGTGAAATCACAGTATAGCCAAAAATACGAGTTTAAGGGATAAGCAATAAAAGTGGTATGACACATATTTTGAAAACAAATTAGTATTATAGAAGGTCTCTGACTCAGAAACACGGCTGGTTTGTCAAGATTAATTTCTTGCTATTTCCTCTGCAGACACCACTGTTATCATAATCATATGGATGAAACTTGGAAAAGCAAAGTGTAAGGCCCATGACTAGCTTTAAGTTCCTTATTTACATCTATAGATAGCAATTTGGGTGAACAATGTAAAGAACTCATTACTGTTGTTTTTGTTACAAGCTCTCCAAGAAACCTACATTAGGTTTGGTTGTTATTTTGTTAGTGCCATGACCAGAGACGGTCACACTTTTGGAAGACACATGCAAGGTACAAGAGCAAAATGGAAATCAAAGTAGCATGCTTTAAATTTTTTTAAAATTTTGAACTAATTTTAGACTTAAAGAAAAGTTGCAAAACCAATATGAAATTTTCACTCCTTTGGCTTACGTGCTTCCTCTAAAGCTAACAGTAACAACATCTTATGTAACTATATTCCAGTTATCACAACCAAGGATTAACATTGATACAATATTCAATATTATAAACTAAATGACAAATGTATTTCAAAATTCACTAATTTTTCTGATAACATTTTTGTCGTTTAAGATTTAATTTGTTTCTACATTGCATTTACTTATTATATCTCCTTAGTACCACTAGTCCATAACAGTTACTCAGTCTGTCCTTACCTTTCATGACCTTAGCATTTCTAAAGAGTACTGGCCAATTAATCTGTAGAATGTGTCTGTTTGGATTTGTGTAATGTATTCTTCTCATTGGAGTTGTCATGTATTTTTGCCACAAAAACATGGTGGTGTCCTCTCTACGTCACGTCAGGAGTTCATGATGGCTGTGTATCTGTCACTGGTAGTTCTCACCTCAAGCACTACCTGGGTTGTGCTCACCTTGGTGACTCACCTCGGTTAAGTCAGCACTCATCAAGTTTTTTCATTGTAATTTTTCTATTTTTGTTGTTGTTGGCAAATGCCTTGGGTAAGATAGTTTGATATTATGCAAATTCTGTTTCTTCTCAAATTCTCACTCTCTAACTTGTGGATCTTCTCTGCAATATAGTTTACTGTGGTGTTTGCCTACTATGATTCTTATTTTTGTCTACATTTATTATTTGGAATTCTACTGTGAGGAAGAGCTATATCTATCTATCTATCTATCTGTCTGTCTGTCTGTCTATCTATCTGTCTGTCTATCTATCTATTTATCTATCTATCTTTGATTATATTATGTCAGTAGAACAAGTGGGTGTTTGTGAAACTCTGTGTGTAAAATTTAATACTGATACAGGGTACAGCCGGGGGGGGGCCCAAAAAGATTTGGAATGGTGTCCAGAATTCAAAGTGTATAGGAATATTGGAGAGACATATAAGATGTCCTCACCGCCCCCCACCCCAGGGGGAAGGGACAATGGAGCAGGGCCATTGAGAACTGTTTTGCACAGCAACAGTTTTGCAGCTAACCTCTGGAATGGTTATTTAACATATCTATAACCTTTAACTGGTTTCATAGATATGTTAAATAGCAGTGGCCAAGTTTGGATCCAGGGAGAAGGGAGTAGCAGGGACTCAGGATGTAAGGAGGGGCTGCACTCCTGAGTGAGAGGTGTGTGTGAGAGCTTGGAAAAGACTGGCTCCGGGACATGAGGGGATAACTGCCCAGGTGAGGAGAGAGCCACGCGGTTTCAGCAGAGTGAGGACCCCCTCTTGGTGAGGTGAAAGAGGGAGCCACATGGTTTTGGCAGGGTGCGGACCCCCTCTTTCCCAGGTGAAAGGGAAAAACCACGCAGCTTTGCCAGAATGGAGATCCCTGCAGCCAGGTGAAGAAGAAAGCCACATGCTTTTGGTGGAGTGTGGACTCCTGCAGCTTTGGTAGAAGAGGCCCATGCGGCTGTGGGATGCCCCGTTTGGCTGCATGGCCTGGAAAGCAAGAGAGACTTTGACTGGAACTGGGTACAAAGAACTCTTGCTAGTAGACCATGAGAGGGTACCACAGTACTTTGGATTAACTAGAGAGATCCTGCCTGCATGGTGACACAGCTGATGGTGCCAGCGGCCTGCAACACAGACGTGTGCTCTTTTCCTGATTTACGGTACCCGGAGTTGGGACAGTGGGAGAAGGGAGCGTTGTGTGGGTGTAGGTGTATACCCTAAAGGACTTTGCTATTTTAGTGGAGGCGTTAGGCCTAAATAGCATTAAATAAACATTTCGTTTCCTTTTCACAAATCTCTGGCATTGAGAGATGTCTTTCCAATTGGCGGCGGACAGAAAAGCCCAGTAGATATTAGTATTTTGTTTTGGGGAGGGGCCCCTGTTGTATAGCAGTTTTCGGCATCTCTAGGTGGGCCAAATATTGTATTGCCCCTCCCTCGGACCTCTTGTTCGGTAACAATACTACTATTAGTTACCTTGGAAAAGCAGCAGCATTTTTACACTTGCTATGGCAGCATTGGAAAGAACATGGGACAAGATGGTTAAAGGTTCAGGGTAAGCTCAAGGACTAACCAAAGCCTTCTGTTCCATTACACACTAAAATATTTATACCAGCATATTCCAGTCTGCTTGTGGATACTGAGATAGAGCACAGAACATAAGAACATGAGAGAGAGCGAGAGAGAGAGACTACGTGGGACCAGGAAGGAGAGAGAACAAGTTCAGCCCTGTCTAGCTGCTTCCTGAGTAGGAGGCATTGGAGACTCTGTATGTTACCTTGGAGTAGCTGGAACAAGGAATTATTTAATCAGCCCCCCAAAGACCGCATAGACCATCAGCTAAATTGGTAACATGTAAAAATGAGCAAGAATTGAATTTTCTCTTATATAAAATTTATCTGTCATCAAATGGACCTCTTGTAAATTTTGTCCTCTTTCAAAATGTATGGAACATGGAGCTGGCCAGCAACATTGACTAAATTTTTTTGTGAGCCTACAAAGAAGAGGGGGATTAAAGAAAATAAGGGACATGCAATGCTTAGGAAAGACATATATCATGTGGAGTAATGAGAAGAGGAATAAAAAACACAATCCAAAATGCTGGGTTAGCGACCAGAAATTCAAATTCTAGTCCTGACGGTCCTTGAGGTATAATTTCTTCATCTGAAAAATAACATTATTATTTTGATGGTCTCTGAAATCTCTCTCTTTCATCTCACATCTTGCTCTTTCTGTCTAACGTGTTTGTTTAATGTTGGTAAACTGGGTGGGTTGTTTTAATTCATAAAGAATTCCTAGAGAGTTTAAGTCATTTTAGCCCCAGAGTCTATGAACTGAGATATGTGCCAGAGAGGACCGAAGCAAGCTGGCGGCATTTATCATGCTTAGCAGGGCTCTGGGAATTCCTGAAGACAAATGCATGAAACCATTCTGTGCTTGACATTCCATTGTCACTGTTTGCACTCAGTTGCTGTTGGGCACATATGCTACAGAGTTTGGTTTCAAACCAAGCATATGGTAGCTTTGGAATAAAGTTTGAATTCTTGTTAAGATCCTTGGCTCATGTGTCTACCCAGTTTTAGCAAATGACAGAAGAGAGAGTAGAACACGAAGACTATTCTAGTTAGGGCATTATATAAGTGAAGTCTGCTTTTCTCCACCTGCTGAGGGGGCTGACATTTAGCGTTCATCATGTTATTAATAACATAAAGCTTGCATCCTGTTACTCCCTTTTCTTTGTGTATGTCTGGTTTTGTGTCTTTCTTTGTGCCCTTCTTTCTTTCCTTGTGTCTTCCTTCCTTCTTTCCAGCCTTCTTTTTATTTTGCTAATGAGTTCCTTGGGGCTAATCCGTGACTGAAAGACAAAAAGAGAATTTTCTATGAGGGGAGTTTCTATTTACTGGAAAGCCTTTAAAAAAGCGAGAGAGGCCACGGGCAGTGGCAGAGCCTGCTCTTGGCTGAGAGAGGGCCCCTCCTGGGACACCCTGTCCAGGTAAATGAGAGAAAATTCATTCTACTCAGCAGAGCCCAAGTCCTCTGTCTGAGCTTTGCATTTTGTGAAGTCTTCCATTTGGAAACTGGAGTCAGAAGAGACTTTGCAGACTTTTTATTTTTGTTTATTTAATTTTATTTTTAATTTAATTTTTTTATTTATTAAATTTGTCAGGGTGGTATTGGTTAATAAAATGTATTGGTTTCAGGCATGCAATTCTATAAAACATCATTTGTATATTGTGTTGTGTGTTCATCACCCCAAGTCTAGTCTCCTTCTATCACCATTTATCTCCCCTGTACCCTCTCCTGTCTCTTTTCATCCTCCTTTCCCTCTGGTAATCACTGCACTTTCGTCTGGGTCTATGAGGTGTTCATTTGCTTGTTTGTGTGTTTGTTT